GCCTGAATCTTTTAGAATTCTTGGAATGCTGTGAAAGGACTCTTTTACCTTTCCAGGCCTTTGTCTGGGTGATTCTCAGCCCACATTAACTGAGAGAGTCCCTTTGGTTCTGTCCAGTCCTGCAGATGCCAGTCCCTGGCTCTGGAAGTTCTGGATATGCTGTGTTTCCTTCTGGTCTCCTCAGCCAGTTGCACCAATGTCACATAACGAGGAAAAACAAGTTCCCCCTTGTCCTTACTCCCGTTTAGGTTCTCTGCTTGTTCAGGAAAAGGATTACACTACTTTTTTATGCAAAGGCATCACACCAGGACCTCATGTTCTGTTATTTTTGTACTACTATGAATCCTTGATCTTTTCCAGTCATTGCTTTCAAAGACAGTATTCCATTCTGCTGATGAAGTACTTCACTTACATCTGCTCAGACCTAATAAACACCCCAGAACTGGAGGTCCATCAGTGTTGCTGAAAATACTTGTTTGAATTATCATTTAAGCAGTCATATCGCTCCCTCATTCAGATGTTGCAGAACATAAATAATAAGAAACCATTCCAAAGAAATCTGCATTGCAGTCATCATCAAAGTGAGTAAATAAAGAAAAGCTGACAGGACCTCTCACAGAAAGCAAATCACTGTGATCTTCACAGAGAAAGGTGAAGGATTTCTTTTTCTTCTTTTCTTTTTAATACAGCTTTTCTTCTAGATTCAGAGGCTTTCATGTTAAATTCAATATTTTTAGCACCCACACGACCATCTAGAATTAAAATGCAGCAGTTCCTTAGCATCTGAGTAAGAAAGCAATGATAGATCACTGTGATTCTCCTGTCCTTGTACAGAATCAAAGAATCATTTACTAATAGACTGAATCGCTTCCAAAAGCAGAAATCACACAGCTCCATCTTGTGGAGGATGAGATTCCTTGTGTAATGTCACAGCTCCGTTCAACTTCTGCCTTTGGTAATGATTTAGCCTTAGGTGTTTTTCCATAGGGTTTTACTTACTGCAGAAATTTTCTTTCACGTGCAGTTTACACACCTTCAGCAAGAGCAGGAACAACCTGCACAGTGTTTTTACTTATAGTCTTCCGTTTCATTTTATTTTCCCATAACATTCTCCCAAACAGGTCCATGCTTCAACGGTTCATGTTTGCACCAAGTGGTGCAGAACCAGCTATTTAATTTTTTCCTGTTCTCCTGTAAGAGGTTGAATGCCTTGTAGAAGTGTCCTCAGTGAACACACCATACATTAGTACTAAAAATGTTTGATTTTCAGCCTAGTGGTCCTTCTTAGCAGGAAGCATTTGCAATGCAGTTTAGATGACACAAAACTGCAGAGCAGCAGAGTTTGTCTCATTCATGGAACACAGGACCCTAGTCTGTACTGTTTCCATAATCCAACGCTATTAAAGCAAACCATGTCAGAGGAACCAGGTAACTTTCCACAACAAAAAATGGCCTCCTGGATTCTGGAGACAATCAGTGTCCTACCAAGAGCTTCCGAAGGGATCATACCCCAGAAACATCCATGTCACACCACAGGCACTCCACACAAACCATAGCTGTGCCATGCTATCAAGAAAACTTCAATTTTTATATTTTTGACTGTACCTTTTACTTAAGGAGAGCATATCAAAACAAGTTCATCACCAGAGGTCTCCAAACTGCAATTCCCCAAGGTAACAGCAAGTAACTCACTGTAAAGGTTTCCCAGGATATTCTGATGTTTCGAAGCCCACGTTTGTTTGGAGCAGAAGGTATTTCTCAAAAGTCTGATGTAACACTCCTCTATCAGATTCTCCCAGCCTACATTCAAGAAGTTTTATGAAAAAGCAGCAAGTCACGTGACTCCTGGGACTGCTCACAGGTGACTCTGGGAACTTATTTCCCATTAATTTATGACTGAAATGTGTGAGGGTTCAAAAATGACCGCAAACATTCCCTCAAGTCTTCTAATTTAATTAAACGGATAAATGATCCTAAGTATTTTCATTTTTTTAATTAGTTTTAAATTAATTTTCAGTGTGAGAGCCAGAAGTCCTAAGAGAGAAAGTAAGGAATTGCTCATAGGAGCTTCTACCAGATCTGCATGATGAATGTCAACACAATAACCAAAACCAGCTGCTTATTAAAATACTGGTTTGGACTACAACAGTCAGAGACCGTCTGAATTAACACATATAGGCAAAAAGAATGCAGTAGAGAAAAATCTCCTTAAAATAATCCAGACCCTGTGTTTTTAACTAACATGCTGGGACTTAAGGGGGAAAAAACAGAATAGCATCTTGATTGTTTCCCTACAAAGGATATTCCATGCCCCTATTGAGATGATTCATCACCACTTCACTCCCCTGAATTCATCTTCCATACTGAGAAACATTATGGCATTTCTCCCTTCTGGTAGAAGTCAAAATAGCAACTCTCTAGATATGAGTGACAAGAAAAAATACCTCATCTCTTCTGCTAACACTTCTTTATTGTTTGAAATTTCAGGAACAGTGTTGACTTGATTTCTTTTTATTAAGTCTTGAAGTGATTTTTGTTTCCCTGAGAAGCATTAGTATTTCTCTGAAACACTGAAAACCAAAATCTACAGAAAGGATGAAGAAAAAGAACCAAAGGAAAAGGCCTTTCAAGGTCCACACCCCACCCCACCAAGAGCTGCCAGTCCTGACAAGGAACAGCTCCCTGTGCCCGTGGGTGGATGCCCCAGTTCATCTGTACCCAGGCAGCCCTTGGGCTGTGCTGCAGAACCTGCCAAGAAGGTTGGCAATTAGTGCCAATCAGGACAGGTTTGGCTGTGATATGGACACCCAGGCAGGAGATACTGGGCTGATCCTATCAAACCACTTTGCACCAGCATCTAAAGACCCTTTGTGTGACTTTGTAACCTTCAGTTACTCCCAAGATTAGCCACAGAGCCATTGACAACATATTTCTTCATCAAATAAACCCTTGTGTGGTTTTTAGCTGGAAGTTCTCTTGGGCTTTTCAAGGAAGTGCCAAGAGACACTGCCAGAAACACAAAGCCATTTGTCCAGTAGGGCTACAATTATTTCATTCCCCAAAAGTAGGAGATTAAAAATTATGTTAATTAGGATAAATATTGAGAAAGTATTAAAGCATTATTACAAGACAAACCAAGCAACAAAAGAGTTGCTGACTATTACAACTGCTCCTTAAATACTTTATAGTGATACTCTGTGCTGCATATGGTGCTTAGAAGCTGCATAATTACACACATTTATTCATCCTTAACCTATGTATTTTCATTACTTTGGTGCACACCATTAAAATTGAAATGTTATCAAAACATGGCATTGGAAATAATTTAGTATTTCCTATTTCAGACCAAAAAAAATAGATGATTAAGTGCTACCTATGAGGAAGGTCATTCTAGTTAAAAAGAGGACAAAGTACAGCACAAGCACCCAAATCTGCTTGTTTCCCAGTTGTCTATTTATCCATTCCTTTTCCAATCCATGTGTAAGGCATTAAAAGTGTAATCCTGATTTCCCTGGTAATCTAAATGGGAGATTTGGCTGCAGGAGAAATCAAACCTCAGCTTTAGGGCAGAGAGAAATAAAAAGTAAAATGCCTAGAAGACTTTGCAGGTAAGCAGTTTTAGTATAAAGGCTCTTGTTTTATTATGCATGGAGTATGATTCTTTGGATTCTAAAGTACTTTAATCAATGTTCAAGGGTTTTTAAGAACCTCATTATATATCTCTTTTGCAGGATTATGAATATTTGCAAATGAGGTCACGTAGTAAAGCTTCAAAGGCTAAAAAGTTAGATCAAGATATATTTTCTAAAACTCTTCAAAATATTTCAAAATCAGAAGTGCTGCCCAATATACACTGCCACATTCAAAGTGTCAGCATTCTCTTTGAATTTTAGCAACATCTTTTTCTAATATATATATTAATCTTCCCCCTGCCTCACTGTTTTCCTGTGATGATGATTACATTTGCACCATTTTATCCAAAAGTAAGCAGTAAGAGTTTAATTTAAATAAAATTAAAATAAAGGTACAAAATTAAAGCTCCATATACTAAAGACTGAGTTGATGAATTTAATTTAATTTACTAAGCAAGAGTGTGCAAGGATTAATAAATATAATTATATTATGGTTGAGCACCTCTATGGCAGTTTTGTAACTATCCTTTCCAAGGAGTTTTGTGTTTATTAGAGGAACCAAAAAACCCAAAGCTGGATCAACAGGGACATCATAGATTTATAAAAGTACCTTAGAGTTACAACTTCAGTTTTCTAAATTTGTGTATGGTGGGTCACTCAGTATTTTGCACAGGTAAATGTATTCAGTGTTCAGGTATATTTTATATATATTTATATATTGTATATATATACTTGTACAGGGTGCAGAAGAGTGAGAAGTTCTGTGCAAAGTCTCCAGAGGGGAGAGAGTGGTTGGTAACAGCACAAAGAAAGATGGGAAGGCAGATTTGGTACATTCAGAGCATGACAAAGAAGGCACAGCAGAAGAAAAACTACTTACCCATAATGAGTTATTAATGGTACTGAAATTGTACCATTCATTTGTTAAAATGAGTATGCTTGACTGTAGATTTTCTTGTCAGTCTATATATTTTGATTATATGCACCACACAGCTCAGCAGTAAATTACTGCAATTAACTTTGATTCCTTAGGATCCACAGCAGAAGCACATCCACATCTCGTGGCAGAATCTAGAATTCAACTCTAAATTCTTGTCTAAAGTGCTTGTGCAAAGCAAGTGGTTACTTTGAAAAGTGCTGGCAAACTCCAGCAGAAATTCTACAGAGATCTAAGGCCATAATGGTAGTTAAATTTCTTATAAGAAAAAAACTTTCTAAAAAAATCCAGGGAAAATTTAGTATATCCATGACAGCAAAGTTTGGAAAAGAGTTGAACAGCTTGAGGTAATTTCTTAACAAACACCTTATGCACTCAGCCACCATTTTAGTGTACCAAATACAGACACTTCAAGGAGAATCTTAGCTTACAGATAAGATGTTTTCCATGCTGTTCCTTTGAAATTTGAGTAGCACATCCCCTGTGAAAGCAGCACCGTTCCATCTGTGCAGCTCTAGAGTCAGACACTTCCTCTCACAACAAATCTGCGCAGCTCGCTCGGTTTGGGCTGTGGGAGCACAAAAGAACTTGTCACAAAACAACCTGCAAATAATCAGACACAAGATGCAACTCTCTAGAAGAAAATTATAGCCCTACTTTGGTGAGGGTAAACCACAGATCAAGTGTCAGCAGAGGCTGGGACAGGGAAGAGACAAAATATAAGAACGAAGGGAACTAAGAGAGACTCCCCAGTAGAAGATCTGCCAGGAAATAGTGAGTAACACAACAACTCACCCTCTGACTTAAATTGGACAGTATGAGAAGAGTCAAGACAGACATTTGTTTCTGCTAAAGAACTCTAATAGTTCCCATGTCTGACACATGCTCTTGGGGTCTTGCTTTCATAACTTCCCAGTGAACTACTGGGCAATTCCCGGCGCTGAATGAATTTAACTTACGAAGTACGTGTGCTTTTGTGATTTGTAAAAGTTACTGAGTGGAACTATTAACTGTGGCAATATCACTAGAGTATAATTCAGAAAATGATACAGAGATAGTAGAAATAATGGAGAATTTTGTCATAACTCACAAATCCTGTGAATAGATCATTCACAGGCAAAAGGCAGCAGGAACTGGACCAAATCTACTTGTCACTACTTGCTTTTGATATCACAGTAGAGTTCAGAGACCACAACTAGCACTTGGTCCTGTTTTGGTAGTGCACAAACACGAAGGATTTTACAAGCTGTGACACCACTTACCCCATTTGACTCCACTCTGAAGAACAGCCAGTAAAATTAAAAATGTCCACACATCCCAACCACTCCCAGCTCAAAGTGTGGTCTGGCTGCATGAGGACAATGCCCTGGGAACTGAAATGGCTCTGGCACACTTCCATGTGCCACTCAGCTCCAAAGTGGGGCCATGATAATGGTGGTTTTTAACACTGTCAAATTATTCACTATGGCTTTGACAAACACAGCAAAGGCATGGCTAAGGTAGCTGCTCCCTTCCCCCCAGTATATCAGCAAATATCCCCTGCAGCTCCTTAATAAAGTTAGCTTGCACCATTCATCTGGTAAATAAAACCCCTTGGAAACAATGAGGAAGCAGTCCCGTGCATATTCAGAGAGTTGTAATTGCTATGGAAACCACCTCTACTAATAGAGTCTTGCTTCAGAGCATCAGAGGCAAATCAGAATAAAATGACAGCAAAACAAAGTGTAATACTGCCTGAGACTTCAAAGTCCAAAACTGAGGGGAATTAAACCACTGTGAAGGAAAAGCCTTCATGTTCTCCCATCTTCCAGGGTTTTTTTGGAGCATATTTATGGGGATGAGCTCTTTGGCTTGTTTTCTGCCTGGGCTTCCCAAATTGCTGCTGAAGTAGCACTGAGGGCTGGCAGCATCACTACAGTTGTTACAGGAAAAGGAAACTGTTTCTTCAGCCTATAAGTAATTTTAATTTTACTATTCTTTGCAGCAGGTTGCCCACTGATACACCAGAGCTTATCCCACTACTGTTCCTAATCAACCCCAACACCTATTTCTGAGTTTCATCATACCAATTTTCAATGTATTTGCAGAATAAAATTAGTAAATGCAATATGCCTACACCTACTAGTCCAAATTATGTCCAAGGTCATTACTGCAGATGCACTAGCCTTGATTCTCTCTGGGTACATAACTCCAAGAAAGAAACCAACTCAGATATTGTTTCAGAGGTACACTGCATGTCAAACACTAAACACTCATTTTTCTTTTTTTCAGGTACATCCCATCCCATTATAAGTCCATAAAGCAAAATTCTACAAACATTTGATTTATTAAATCTTAAAGTAATAAGCCATTATTGGAGTTGTTTATAAGCATCAATTTACGTTTTTTAAAAAGTTACTGAACTGAAAATTCCACACACCTGCCTGTGAACAATTGTGACAAGGATTTTGGTTTATGGTCATGTGAACTTTGCCTTTCCTACCTTTTTTTTTTTTTTGTTCAGGGTCTTCTAAGCCATAGAGACCAACCAACTTCCCATGAAAAACAAACTCTAGGAAACACCTGTTTTCCACGTTACAGTCAGATGTGAGCAAACAACCACATGTGGTCAAGCAAAGCACAGGATGCAAATTTTGCTCTATCACTCTTCTTATAACCAGGAGGCAAACAATAACTATTCTCACATAATGCCATTTGCTTTAGCATTAATCCACCACCATTTCTCTGCTGACTGTGAACAGGCAGGATGTGAACCCTCCAGACAGCTCTGCCCTGTGATCACAGCCTTTTCTTGACGGCTGTTGTCAGTCACAAAGCTCAGTTTATCGTCCTGCCTGACCACACCCTGGGCTTTCTGGAGAAAAGGGGACCAAAATAGACAGCAAGTTACACACATGATTAAACTCATTTGTGCACAACCCAAAATAATGTTTGGTTCTAAAAATTATTTCAGAAGAAGAAAAGATTTGTGTATAAAACATAAAAAATTTAGCACCAATATAGCAAGGATATTGATTTTGCTTCTCTAAAATCCTCCCCTGGGATATCACCAAAGTTACCACACTAATGTATTAAAAAAAAATTGCAAAAAAACCCCCACACACTTCTGGTACCGCTTAGAACATTCTGCTTTTCATCAATATGTTTTTCACTTATGGTCAGGAAACACAAATCTCCAACTAAAATTGCAAAACCAGATCTGCATTGCCACTACTGTACAACAAATCTACACTGCTCACAATGGTGCAAATGTTTGCAGGCTGAAATATTCCCCCTTGCATCATCAACTGCTGCTTCTTTTGTTCATAGCAAAGGAGGACATTTGTAAAATTCCTTCTTTTACATGCAAAGCTAAACATAGCTGAGTGAATATGACCACGGCCCTTAGAAATGTATGACAGAGTTGAATTTAAGTAACATATTAAAACACTTCATCTATCTGTCATTTTTATATATTGCCACAATAAAGAAACCTCATTGCATTTCATAACTTTTTCTTCTAGAAACTATTAAAGTGGGATGTTCTACCCAGTCACCACGTGTATTATTTGTGTAAGATGCACAAATAGAGGGGGGGGGAATCAAAACTAAAGTTGTTCAGGGTACTGAAGTACAAACTGTATGTATATATCTTTAAAGCTTTAAACCCAGCCTTGTAACTGTGAGTTTAAAAAAAAAAACAAACTGTGGAACTAATTAACAGCTGCTAAATTCAATTCTGATTTACTTAAGACAAAGCACACTGAACAAACACACTTGTATGGCAATTATACCTCAGGGGGAAAGGAATGGGAAGGAGTCAGTAATTCCAGGGGCTCCTGGTCTGTGCAGAGCCAGTGTGGGATGAGAACTCACCTTTCCCTTACTAATGTCCCCTATCCATCAGAGCAGAGCCCACATCAGGCCTTTTATTGGAGTCCATTTTTAACCCAGCAAAAACATGTCATATTTAATTTTTACAATAGCTTCACTGAAGAAGAGTAATTAGGTTTTCTTTTCTAGGGGTAATATTTTTGAACATATAAAGAATGTCCTGTGTGGAGACTGCTGGAGAAAAATCTATTTCAGAAAGTGCCCCCCTCAGAACTACATGCTCTAAGAACATGAATAAGTGGGGCTAAAAAATGGATTATAAAAAATTCCCAGATTATGGAACACATTTTTTCAATTTCTTATGTGTATTTATATATACAGACAAATACTAGTATTTCAAACAACAAATGAAATCAAAGACCCAATAAAAAAATCCACAGAGTAGGAAATCTCACCACGTTTTCACACCTGAAAATATGGAGTTTTACTTAAATACAAAATATGTTTTACATACCTTATCTAAATATTGGTTTTCCTCTCACAGGGAGTCCAGCTTTTTACATGATCAGTAACAAAAGTTAATTAATATCATACAAAGGAACTTCACCAGTTTTCAGATAAGGCTGTTGTCATTACACAAATGGGCAGATTAATGACTTAGTCATGATTTTTGCATTTTTATCTTTCACAGTAAGGGCTAATAGCTTGTCAAAATTAAAATTAAAAAAAAAAAGTAGTTGTCCAAAGTGTATCATAAAGATCATTAATACTGGTGATCCCAATAACGAGTGAGGCAAATAATCATCCCCCCTGCAGGGCTCTGTTCTATTGCACTACCAGACAATTAACCTGACTTTCATCTACTGTGAATATGATGAAATAAATAGGTCTGTTAATGCCTTTTTAAAAGATCAAGTAAATGTCTTGAGGTTGCTAATGGGCTGCACTGACCATCTCATATCATCCATCAGCTTGAAAGCAGCCTATAATTTGTGTGTGTTTGTAATTCTATATGGAATGAAACTCCTAAAGTTACTCCAGGTGTTCATTACACATACACATAACAGGAGTTTTAATATGCTTAAAATTAAAAGCAAACCTTGGTTGTTGAATACAGAACTGTATTCATGCACTCCCCTCAATATCATTCTCCTGGCTTATTATTCCCAACTCAAAAATTACACAGCTAATTTGTAGACAAATTTTATTTATCCTTTTCCTACACAAGTTATTTCTTGTGGGTACATGAATACTTTTTAAATACTACTCTAATGTTTTGGAAAGAAAAATTCCACAAAATTGAATTGCAAGATTTAGGACTAAATTCTGGTCTTCTAAGGTAACAAATGACAGCCCTCTGCTGGTTAATAATTGTGTACCCACAAGAAGTACATTTCTCAACAGCTTTATATTAATACTATATTTAGCCAAAGTGAAAATATATAAAAATCTATATATAGTACAAAATAAAATTATACTACAGAGATGCCTGAAATATTTTAGCTGGACCATTAGAAAACATATTCTTTCTAATTCATGTAGGAAACAGGAGGTCAAGGAAATGGCTGGTTCCTAAATTATATAAACAATTCTATAGAGTATTGGAATTCCTCAATGAAGTAACCTTACTAGGCCACAGATTTCCATACAGGATTCAAAAATAGTAAGAAATGTTAATGGTAATCATCGTGTTATTGTGTAAGGCTTTGTTTTGGTTGGTAAAATCCATAAAAATGAAATATTGTTCAAATAAAAACACTGCTTTTCTGACATTTTTGTGGTCTAAAATAAGTTTCAAAAGCAAACATCACAGAGCTTACTAGCAGCCAGCTAAAAATGAGTACCAAAGCATGGTATTTGGTACAACAGTCAGCAATGTGATCCAGTTTGCAGGTATCAGCATAAAATTCAGAAATATGACACATGTATGAGAAAAATTAAGAATAGTCCCTGTATTTTATTAATTTTTTTCCGATTTCTAAAAACTTGTTTTCTACTTTGCTCTGAGGCTCTCTACTGCCTTTTAAAATACATAGATAGATAGATAGATAGATAGATAGATAGCAAATAATTTGAATTTTTCCTATGTTAATTTAAAATATTCTGTAGCATAATTCTGACCATGTGGCAAATTCACAAAGAAGGCATCGCAAAGTGCATCTTCATTAACGGTGTCAGCTGGAACAAGTCTGCAGCAAAAGAACATGCTGGCAGCTGTACACCCTTACTTAGAAAAACACCAAAACCCAAAAGCAAACCCTCTGCGGCTGCCAACACGTGACAGTGTGAAACAAAGAACTGAAACCATTTATTTGAATGTATTTGACAGTTGACTCAATGCCCCAATAATCGCATTTTACCAATAGAATATTGAGAGAAGTAACTGGAATCAACCCCCAGTGTAAATAGGTCCCTTCCAGCCCAAACCCTTCTGTGACTTTATGATTCTGTGATGCTCAGCTGAACTGCAGGGGAACTCTGAGCAGTGTCCTTCACCTCCAGCTGCCTCTGGAAGCTGGTCCAAGGAGTCCCTCACCCCTACGGGCACAAACAAAACAAACGAACCCCTTGGGGACCACGGAAACAGTGAGGAACTGATGGATTGTGTGAGGAATGCAGGATAAGTTCAGTCAAGTGTTGTTTAGCTGCTTAAGAAATTAGCTTACAGGTGCCAGGTAAGAAGTAACAGAATCACAGAATATCCTGAGGCAGACAGGACCCACAAGGATCATCAAATCCCATCTCTTAGCCCTGCACAGGACAACCCCAAATCTCACCATGTCCCTGAGAGCGTTGTCCAAACACTCCTTGAGCTCTGTCAGCCTTGGTGCCCTGACCACTGCCCTGGGGAGCCTGTTCAGTGCCCGACCACCTTCTGGGGTGATGAACCTTTCCTAAGATCCAACTTAAACCTCCCCTGACACAACTTCGGGCCATTCCCTCAGGACATGATAAACACATAATAAAAAAGGCGAAGACCGGCTACCTCACACTGACACTCGGCGCTCACACGGCCCACACGAGGAGGATCGGGGGCGCAGCTCCTGTGGGGAGCAGGTGGGTCCTGTCCCCCCATCGCTTTCCACGCCGGGGGCTCTGGATCCTCCTGTCCCAGCTGTCCCTCCTGTCCCAGCTCTCCCTCCTGTCCCAGCTCTCCCTCCTGTTCCTCCTGTCCCTCCTGTCCCTCCTGTCCCAGCTGTCCCTCCTGTCCCAGTTCTCTCTCCTGTCCCAGTTCTCTCTCCTGTCCCCGCTCTCCCTCAGCCGCCGCTGGAGGACCGCTCTCACGTGCCCGCCAGGGGGCGCCGCCGGCGTGTCAGGGGGTGGGCCGGGGGCGCGTGCGCGGTCGCGCGCGGCGATGGCGGCGCTGCTGGAGCACGAGAGCCAGATCTTCCTGGACCTGTTCCACCGGGACGGGCTCGTGGTGTGCGCCCGCGGGCTCGGCATCGACCGCCTGCTCCTGCGCTTCCTGCGCCTCTACTGCGAGCCCGCCAGCCTCGTGCTCGTGCTCAACACCGGCCCCGCCGAGGAGGTGAGGGGGCTGTCAGCGCCCGGCACTGCCCCGCTCGGGCCCGGCGGGCGCGGCCCCGCAGTGCCCCGGGCGGGAGCGGCTCCTGGGGCCGGGGGTGGGCCGGGGGTGGGTGTGCGGGATCCGGGGCCGGGCCGGGCGCTGTCACAGAATCACTGAGTGGGTCAGGCTGGAAGGGACCACAGTGGATCATCTGGTCCCACCTCCTGCTCCTGCTCCAGCAGGGTCATCCCAGAGCACACGGCACAGAATCCTGTGTCCAGACAGTTCTGGAGTGAGGAGTCTCCAGAACTGGAGACTCCAGTCCCCAGCGAGGAGACTCTACACCCTCTCTGGGCAATCTGTTCCAGTGCTCGGTCACTGCACAGTGAAGAAGTTCTTCCTCATGTTCAGGTGGAACTTCCTGAGCATCAGTTCCTGCCCATTCCCTCTCATCCCATTGCTGGGTACCCCCGAGCAGAGCCCGGTCCATCCTTTGCCCTCTCCCTGCAGATCTGACAGACATTGAGGAGGTCCCCTCTCAGCTGTCTCTTCTCAGGGCCAGCTCCTCAGCCTGTCCTCAGAGGAGGGTCCCCCCATCCTCTGTGTCACCCTGCGCTGGACCCACTCCAGGAGCTCCGTGTCTCTCTTGTCCTGAGGATCCCAGAACTGGACACAACACTCCAGAACGGCCTCATCAGGGCTGAGTAGAGGGGCAGGATCACCTCCCTCGACCTGCTGGCCATGCTCTTCCTAATGCACCTCAGGACACTGTTGGCCTTCTTGGCCATGAGGGCACTGCTGGCTCAGGGACAGCTGGTTGTCCCCCAGGACCCCATGTCCCAGGGAAAGCTGTCAGACCAGACACACTTGGGATCCATCAGCTGAATTCCTACTCCTGCAGCACAGTAAAGCCCCAAAAACAATACTGAGCTAAAACAAGCATATGTACATAATTGTAAGTAACCACTGAGCAGAAAGGGATGAACTTGCTGAAGGTTTGTCCCTGCTTGTACAAAAAATAGCTGCTCTTTTTTCCCTGGAACCAGGGAGATTTCCCACCATCAGGGAAGTGAGGTCCTGGGGACTTTTTATAGTGGCCATAGGGGAATAAATATCACAGCTCTAGTTTGTAAGATTAAACTTCATGTATAGGTCCTACCTGCTGTAGTTGTCTGATAGCAGGTGAGGGCACCAGAAGATGAACTCTTCCCAATTCTCTGTTCTTAAGGCAGTATTAAAATTGCATATTCTCTGAAAATGGAAATACAGGAAAGTGTAAGCTCTTTTGAGTGTCAGTTGCTCATATTTACTTAAGTATTTTCTAGCTACTACTGACAATACGTAGATTTTAAATCACCCAGATGAGTTTGAAACTGAACAAAGTATATTAAAGAAGAAAAAAATCATGTTAATTATGACTTCCTTTAGTATGTTATACTATCATGTTTTAATTTGTTTTGGACTGCTCCTCAAAATTGGCAGGGTATGCATAATAAAGGTGTTTATTGCATCCAATAAATGTGTTTGTTTCATTAGTTACCACGATTATGTCTTTGTTTTTATTGTATTCGGTTTAGGAGTATTTTATTGACCAGCTGAGGTCAGATGGAGCTGTTCACCTTCCTCGGCGTGTTACCAATGAAATTGCAAATAACACTCGGTACGAATTTTACACACAAGGAGGAGTCATCTTTGCAACAAGTCGGATCCTGGTAGTGGATTTCCTTACTGACAGAATTCCTGCCAACCTCATTACTGGTAAGAGTTTAATGAAATGAAGGTAAAAGTGTTCTGTTTGAACATACATAAAGCTTAATTCTATATGAAGAGTTCTACTAACCACTGTCGAAGAACTTTTCCTTTCCTTCCCCCCAAGACTGAGGTAAAAAGAGCAAATATGTAGTTCTTTCATATTTTTAATGGTTTTCTTTGCTCCAAACTTGTTTGTCTTATTTAATCAAACCCTTTGAAAACATGCACATTATTTTTACAGAGCTATTTTTACAGGTTTTGCATTGCCACCAGAGGTCAGTGCCAGAGCAGCTGTGATAGACCAGCTGCTTCATTTCCAGCTTCCCCAACACCTGGTTCCATGTTCCTTACCTGTGTGTGAGACTGTACAGCCAAACCAACAAAAACTTGTAATAGTGGTTCTTGAGGAGGTAACACAGAAAAAGTGTTTCTAGGTTTTATAAATGTTGTTTATAAAATCAGTGTTGAATCACATGTGAATTAACATCTGATGAACTCATAAAGTCCAGCTAAATGGAGATAAGAAATTATCACTGCAGTAAAGAAGAATTATTCCTGGTAGTTTTAGCCAGGTAAAAATGATGTACTTGACAGCACAGTAAGACTGATGCAAGTGGTTTTAATAAAAAGTGATAATAAAAGGGCTTACAGAGCAGGTACAAACTCACTCCACAAGCAGACATATATTGAGTGAAAGTTGGAAGGTATTATGATAAACACACAGTCTTACTGGCCCATCACAAATTGGTTGTCTCCTCTCATGTCCATTCTGAGTCACATCTTGACAAACTGAAGTTGTTCAGAAGTGTGTGTGATCATTATTACGTCCTGAAAAATTTGCTTCATGGGACAGATCTAACAATGTCTAGATACAAAAATACCTTGTAGTGGATTATTCCATGACTTAATCATGAATGGCTAGCAGTTATATGGAAGCCTTTTTTTTCTAGATGCTTTCTCATTTACCAAGCAAAGGCATATTAAAATCAATGTCTAGGTGCTGAGTTGAAGAAACTTGTTGCAGAATTAAATGCACTGTAAATTTATGAGCTTATGTAGGTACAAGGTAAAACCTGTGATGTTTGATGTCCTTTGCTTCCATTTCAGAAAGGCATTTATGATTCCACTGCAAGCTGTGAACAGATAAGAGTTACCACATAGGCCTCACTTCAGCAGGGGAGAGGGAAGAATGCAGTGTGCTATTTAACATGATTAAGTGGGAGGAAAAATAAGCCTGAGTTTAACAGGTCTTGGCTGAGTGAACTGTGAATCCCAGAAGTATTTGTCTCGAACACCTAATTAAATTAAATTGTTGTTTCATTTCTCTTTACTAAAATGTGCTTGATAAATCTTTTATTCCTAATACCCCCATAGCCCTGAATAAAACTGGGGGTGGACTCATACAGTTGACAGTATTTGCTGTCCTTAAGAGTGAATATGACTTATCAGAAGGAGGAGAAAAGCAAAACAAATGTTTTCAGATGTTCTTTGAATGTGTAAACACTTGAACTGTTACCAATGAAACATACTTGACCAGACTAATTCCAGAATTTCTCTAACAAAAGAATGCAAATATCACGGACTTGAAAGTGTCAAACTTGCTGTGCTGTAACAGTGTGTTCTGTCGTGCATTTGCTTTTCCTCCTTTTCAAAGGCTCAAGTTCAAGTTATGCCTCACAAGTAAAGAATTTTCTAAGCTAATAAGTCCTGCCACTCAAGCAAAAGATTTTTTAAATTTTTTTTTTTATTAAAGATGCATCATTAACCCAGTTCTGTTATTTGGCAGTTCTATGGTACTGAAACTGAGGAGTCACTTGTTCGAACCCCAGGAAGTTTGTTCAACACTCATTTTAGAAGATTTAAATTCCTATAATCCAAAGAATATTAGAAGAATAAGACAGTTATGAGGAAAATTCTATACAAAGTTGGACCTTTCTTAACTTCTTGTAACTTGAAAATGTTTTATTTTGCCAGGCATTTTGGTGTACAAAGCACACAGAATCATCGAGTCCTGCCAGGAAGCATTTATCCTGCGACTGTATCGCCAGAAGAACAAGCAAGGCTTCATTAAAGCTTTTACAGATAATGCTGTTGCATTTAACACTGGCTTTTGCCACGTGGAAAGAGTGATGAAAAACCTTTTTGTCAGTAAGCTTTATCTGTGGCCAAGGTGAGGCACTTCTTTACTCCACTGGAGAGTTAAACTTAAAAGAAGGTGAAGGATGCTAAATGGGTTCCTCAGAAAATGAGGTGCATGCAGTCACACTGCTTAGGGGTGTTCTCTCATATCCCAAACAAATTGCAGTCAGGTTTTGACTGAAGTGGTCTTGAAGATGCTAAATTTCTGTATGTATTTTTGAAATAGACTCAAATTAACTCTGTAAGGGGCTGAACCTTATGGCAGAGCTGGCCTTTTAGCCAACAGAAATCACAGCAGAAGGTGACACTCCTAATAGCTCAAGAAAAGCTTCCCTTACTAAACAGTATTTAAGCCATGAAGTAACAAGAACACAGTCTCTCAGTTCTCCATTCAGGGAGGTATTTGTTTCCAGCTGTGGTGAAACTCCGTGGATCTTTCTACATGTCAGATTTTTTTAATCTTCTTTTACATGTATGTTGTATATGAAGAATATTTCCTGATGACTGATAAAAAGCAAATTGCCAGGTTTGTGGCACGTGTTAAGTCATTCAGAAGCAGAGCCACAAATGGAACTGGGCCCTTTATCTGCTGACCCGTTCAGTGCTCTTGCCTTGGGCAGGAGCTCTGCCCATTTGTTCCAGGCTAACAATGTGTTTCACTCCATCTTAATGAACTGTCACTCTGCCTTGTAAACTTTTTTTAACAGTCTTTCTTCCAGTATCCCAGGGAAGTAGAAGTGGACATAACTAGGGCAAGAAAGGTTGGATAAAAGTTCTCTATGTTTTCTTCCTTGGCTTCTGAGCCATGGCAAGGCCTGGGGGTGCAGTGTGTGGGAAGGGAGATGCCCAGGGAGTTCCAGAGGTTGGAGGCACTGGGCTCTCTGAGCCTCCCTGTTAGGGAAAGGCAGTGACATGTCTGTGCCTGTGCAGCTGAGGGGCTGCAGGGGAGGGTTCCAACAAGGACCTGCTGCTCATCCTTGCAAACTGGGAATGTCACACAACCTGCTGGTGCAGTGTCTGGTTTCAAAGAATTCATGAGCCTGTTCCTGTTTCCCCCTTATGAGATTTTTTGGGTTTACTTTAGTATTTGTTTGTGTATTGGTGATGGAGAATCTAGTGCAGTAATTTTCCATGGCTCATTCACCAGCCCTATAGGCTCACATGACTAGAATGCCTACAATCATCATTGTGGAACAGATGGTTTTCTGAGGCTGTTCATAAGATTGCAGTCTTCACATCAGTAGAATCTGATTTACTTTGGAATTAACTTACTTGTTCACATTTAAAACAATTGTAATTGTAGTTTATACAAACTTTTGGGTAATTGTGGGTCAAGAAAACTTTCCATGTAAATCTTAATAAGCTGTTTTCCTCTTAGATTTCATATAGCAGTGAACTCATTTTTAGAGAAGCATAAACCTGAAGTGGTGGAAATACATGTGGCAATGACCCCTGCTATGCTTGCTATCCAGACCTCAATCCTGGACATTTTGAATGCCTGTCTGAGAGAACTCAAACGTTATAATCCAGTTCTTGAAGTAGAAGATCTCTCTTTAGAAAATGCTATTGGAAAACCTTTTGACAAGGTAACCATTCTGATTGTTTTGCAGTGTCTGACTAACAGGATGTAGATCTTCAAACTGCCATGCAAACAGAAATTTTATTTGTAAAATTAATAACCTTCAGCAGCTGAGTGTTCTCCCATGACATGTTTATTAGTGGTACCAGGTGATGTAATAGTGATGTGACAGTTGCCAGTAGGGTTTTTGGTGTATAGGTGTTATTGTTCTTCCTTCATTTCCCAAGTCTTACAGCAAGAACATCCTGATTCAAGGTTTTCTTTCCTATTTGTGTTTCCATTTCCTCTAGTAGGAGAAGCACAAGTATACAGTAGACAACATGCACAGGCATGCCTCTGCTGTATCTTTAATCATTATATATGTCAGTAATTGTGTGTTCATTGCTGTTTGTGGCAGATGTGCAATGTTTGGCATACATGTGCTTTCTGTAAGGTGAAATCATAAACTTCAACCGTCATAGTGAAACACAGTTATTTCTTAACTACTATTTAATCCTGATGTAAGGCCTTCTGTACTTTAAATATCAGGAGGTTTTTTTCTTAAGCTTTACAGGTTGCACATCTGCATGGTACCAACCTTATTTTGGAAATTAAATGCCATTAGAATGGTTTCTGCTTTACAGGCCAGTGCCAGTAAATTAAGGGTGGGGGGGAGTATTGTACCAGTGTTTTATTATTAGATGGAAAGGAAAAAGTGTACTGAAAGCATTAATTGATACACATCTGCTAATTGCTGGAATATTTTACATAAAGGCATCTATATTATGTTAACTTTGCTAAAAAATTATAACTTATATAAAAAAAAATACCTTACCATCAGGTCTTTAATTTGATATCCTTAATAACTTCAGGAAACTAGTTGCATCCCCTATAAAGAAAAAAAAAAGTGCATTTTTAGCATGGTTAGTGTACTATATATTTGACATCCTGAACTTTCCAATTTATATTTCTAGACAATACGTCACTATTTAGATCCTCTCTGGCATCAGCTTGGAGCTAAGACAAAATCTTTGGTCCAGGATTTGAAGATACTCCGTACTTTGCTCCTGTATCTCACTCAGTATGATTGTGTCACCTTCCTTAATCTTCTGGAGTCACTGAAAGCAAGTGAAAAAGCTTTTGGCGAGAATTCAGGTAAACACTCAAGATCCATACAAGTCAATGCATGAAACAGTGAAATGTTGATGTTTTTAATTAGCATTCCCAAACATTTGAAGGTACCTAATTAGGCTTTACATAACCAGCCATAAGGACGTAGGTTTTTATTGACAGATAATGCTTTCATCTTCCCACCTAACTGCTGTTACTTAACAGGGGCAGATTTGCATCACATTTGTCTCTTATTAAGCTGGTGATTGCACAGCGAGCAGGTAGCACAGGTAACACATCCCCATTGCAGATGTCAAACTAGTGCTGCTTCCCTCTCCTCTCCCCTCAGGTTGGCTGTTCCTTGACGCCAGCACCTCGATGTTTGTGAACGCTCGGGCTCGAGTTTATCGCATTGCAGAGGAGAAGCTGAGTCAGAAAGGCAAAGGCTCTGAAAAACGTGATGTGAAGAAGGAAAATGGTACTGATCATTCCTAATTTTAAGTTTGGGAGTGTCACGATTTCAAGTGCTTTGCATGTTATTACTGGGGCTCTGGTTCCCTACGTGAACATAACCCAGCTCAGGATCTCCGTCTGTTAGCTGGGATAAGCTGAGACATAATCTTAGTTCAAAAAGCATATAATAAACAACATACAAGAGTCATGAAGAAGTAAGGGGTTCTCCTAAGCTTGCTCAGCTGATCACTGGGAGAGCTTTTATGGAATTCTTGTGTTACACTTGTGTTTAGCTTGATCTTTATGATTTTACTTGAATGGGTAGGAGGCTGGGGTTGCTTTTATTAAAAAAAATATATCCAGGAGTTTCAGAATTGAAGAATAAGTGAATATTGCAACTTTTTGCTTCACTAGAGCACTTATCCCCATTTTTAAAGTTAAGAGTGTTCTCCAACCCAGTAACATAACACATTGCATATGTAGGCTGTTGAATATCATATTTGCCAACAGCCATCACGCTATTGACATCTAACCACTAATTTAAAGTCTGAGGGATATTTTGGCTGTAAGAGCTGCTATGTTCAATCTTACTTTGTTTCAGAACTGAAAAGGGAATTGGTTCTCGAAAGTAACCCAAAATGGGAAGCTTTGAGAGAAGTACTGAAAGAGATTGAAAATGAGAATAAGAACAGTGACAACCTTGGTGGTCCAGGTGAGAGAATACTAAATGATGAAAGTTTTCACAGTAAAACCATGGCTGGTTTGCACTTCTGCTTGTCTTTGGAGAGAGGGAACCTAACTCTTTACTGCAGTTTTATCAAAGAGATAGTTTAAATTTAATAATTTGTGTTGGTTACTATGCGATACAGTTTAGGAAAGAGAATTTTTTTAACTTACATTTCAATGTTAGACTGATACTTTAGTTCCAAGCCCAATAAAACTGATGTGGAAATTTATAATAATCAAGGTACCATTCACTCATTTCTTAAGTTCAACTTCAAAAAAAGTGCCCTTTCTAACTCACACATTCTTCTCCTGCACCTGAAAATTTGCCTCTCCAGGAGATGCATATAAATGGGGTAGAGATTAGAAGGCAGGGTAGAGAGTCTAACTGCTTTGCTGCCTTTCCTATTTTAGGGCTGTTCAGCCCCTTAAATTTCAGCAAGTTTTATTTTAGGAAATAGTAAGGGTAAAAAAGTGCTCTTTTCTCCCACCCACAGTGTTCTGACTGCATAAGAACTGGCTCTCTCACCTAGTGTTGTAGGAGTTTATCTGAGTCAGCTTGTGGAGAATTGTTATTCAAGACCACAAATGTCAATAATACTGTGTGAAATATGTATTTTTTGACTTTCTATCACAGCTGACAAAGGCTGAAAATTAGACTGGTCTAAATTAAGTTCTCTTATTCCACGTCTTAAAAAGAAGTAGTTGTGAGTGTGTTTCAATACACACTATGTTTCAGATGGCCAGAAGGAAAACCTCACAAATTTAGACGTTGTGAGAATAAGGAATGCTGAACTTCCATTAATCTCCTCTAATCTTGTTTGGTACAAAATGCCCATGCACTTTATATTTCTCTCAAAGTCCAGAGCAACTGTGACAACCAAATACAAAAGTCTTTGGCAGGCATTACTTCCAGGATCAGTAAAACCAATTTGCTCAGGAGATGCCTTGTAGGTGGAAAAGCAGCACAGCATTACAGCCTGTAAACATGATATTGTTTCTTGACTGCAGGGCAAGTGCTCATTTGTGCCAGCGATGACCGAGCCTGTGCACAGCTCAGGGAGTTTATTATTGCTGGGGCAGAAGCTTTTTTAACAAGGCTGTATAACAAAACCTTCGGAAAGGATGAGAAAGCTGGAGAAGCATGGATTACAGACAGAAAAGCCATCAAGTCCAAAGGAAATGCCAAACCAGACCCAGGGCCTCAAGCCAAAAAAGGCAAACTTGCAGCTTCTTCAAAACAAAAGAAACACAAGAAGCAACAAGACCGGACTATAATCCAAATGATAGGGAAAACCGAGGAGGAAAAGAGAGAGGAGTTAGAGGGGGAAGAGAACAAAGACTTAAGCAGTAGCCAAGAAAGCAGCGGTGAAGAGGCCATTCCTGAAGATTTTGATGTGAACCTGCCCTCGGATTGTTACTATGGGATTTTCAAGGACCCGCTGACCATCATCCACCCGCTGCAGAGCTGTGGGGATCCCTACGCCCTGACCCGCGTCCTGCACGAGGTGGAGCCCAGATATGTGGTGCTGTACGATGCAGAACTCACCTTTGTCCGCCAGCTGGAGATCTACAAGGCCAGCAGGCCTGGGAAGCCTCTGAGGCAAGTTCACTTGGTAATTCTAGTCTTACAAACTAAAAAGTGCACTGTCAGCAGTCAAGGCAGAACGTGCAGCTGTTCATTTTCTTTAGCTACCCTTTAATTCCTGTTTAGCCCTCTTCCTAATTTTAAACAAAAGCAAAATGTCTGGAGTAACCAAAAGATAATTTTTACTTTCCAGAGGGTGTTTAGTCTCTTAGGGCAGAAACATACCTGTTAAAATCCCCAAAGTTCATTCCATCTTCTTCAAGACCTCTGCTTCGACGATCTTAGGGGCAGTAGATCATTTTGACGTGGTGTAGTCTCATTTTAAACCATTTCTGTGGGTATGATTTTTACACAATAAGATTCATTTTGGGTTTAATTCATGTTCACATTTCCTGATGTTGGCAATGCTGAAGACAAGTAATTCAGAAACTGTAACAGAAAAACAAGTATAGGAAAACACAATAAAGAAAATGAGAAGTATTAGCAGTTATACTTTTTTCTAGCTGACAGAAAGATCACCACACTGTGTATAGGTATTTGATACACCTGCCAAACTCACTTTTATGAATAAATTTCACAAACTAATTAAAAATATAGAAAACTTTAATATACTATTGACTGACTTGTCAGGCTACTAATCTTAAATATTGGTTGTGGGTGTTTTTAAGTTAATATGAAGTTCTGTAAGGATTTTTTTTTTCCTCTTTCATACCTACAGAGTTTATTTCCTCATATATGGGGGCTCCACAGAAGAGCAGCGTTATCTCACAGCTCTGAGGAAAGAGAAGGAGGCCTTTGAAAAACTCATTCGGTAACACAATTAGTTTAACCACCTTTATTATTACTGTTCCATGTCATTCCCTTACATGCTTACACTTCAAACAGAGTGAAGTTCTTAACTGTGTGAAGGCTTTAAATAAGCTTTTAATTCAATTGTTTTTCAGGTGTTAAGAGAACTTGCCCACTGAGAATCAACAAAAAGTCAAACCCCATTTTATTTATTAATTTTAGTGGGATTTCATATTAAACTTCTAAGGCTGAACAGCACCACTTGGATTTTCCCCTAATTGTCTCTGTGAATTTCATTTTTGTAATTGTCTTTTTGTCTGCAAGTAGCATTTCTTGTAAGATAATTCCTAAGGCTTTTATAACCTGAGTCAGTTGGGGAAACAAAATAATTATTTCCTTAGACTGTATAAGACAGTATTTTTACTGACAGTATCTTCTCATCAGGTTATAGTGCTATTACTAATTATTAGTTCCTTTGTTTATTATGCTCTGAGAAGTTCTAGACATAAAAAAATAATCAGCTGCTAGAAAGTGCTGGTAGTTGAAATAGAAATACAGCATCTAGCCCAACAATGTGGAAAACCTGGTAAAGTGCAGTTCTGATCGGGTCTGCAGTTAGGATTAGACTGTATATGTTTTACATCTGGATGAAGGGTGTTAAACTATTTGGGTGTATTTTTCTCATCTGTTTGCAGTTTTTACTGTGTGTTTGTTTGGGGTTCCTTAGGGAGAAGGCCAGCATGGTTGTTCCTGAAGAGAGAGAAGGAAGAGATGAAACAAACTTGGACCTGATCCGAGACGCCAAACCCCCCGGTGTGGCTGCCGACACACGCAAAGCAGGTGAGCGGGGCCTGAGCTCAGGCTCAGCTCTGACCTTCTGGAGAGCCCCATCACTGCTGCCCTGGAAATGCCACCAGGGACCCAGCACCAGGGTCAGAGACACCTACACTGGCTCTGCAGTCTTCATGGTGAAGAAACAGTATTTCCCAGTGACGGTGAATTGTGGTTTTCTCTGACAATACAGACTAAAGAAGGGTTTTACCATTGAGGCAGATACAGTTTGCATCGTTTCTGGGCTGCTTGTTGGTTATAAGACTTTCTAGTGCTGTTTGTAGGGAGAGAAATTAAAACATAGAAACTGAAGTCTGCAGATAGTCAAAGGAAGTCAAGTTGTCCTTGAGACAGTAAATGTTGGGGACATCTTTTCATCTTGGCAGAACAGATTGCCTGGGTAAACGACTGCACATTGTGTTTTTGATCACCTTCTTTGTAATAAAAACATCCTTTTTCTTTTTTTGCAGTTCTAACCACATTTTTGTTGCCTTCCTCTGACATCTCTACTGTGCCTTTATCTTCACAGCTCTGCCCATTTTTCATTGCTGTCATGTCTGTAATCCTGCTCTCCTTTACCATGTGCTCTCTAATCTTTGCTTTTATGTCTTTTGTGGCCTTGGTGCTGCAGTCTCTTTATGTGTCTTTTTGCAGACCTATAGAGGCCAACACGTAAGTCCTACAATAAAATGCCGTATTTCTGTGGGAAACAGCTGGAAATAAAAAGGATCAGCTTCATTGTCTTGTTTTACAGGCAACTTTTTAAAGATTTATTTAAATAACTTTCACCTACAGTTGAATGTATTTCATTGTCACATGCACAAAGCTTACAGCAGGTAGCATGGGAGTTCTGTGAAACTGCAGAGTGTACTCCATAAACTACAGTACATAATTGGGCAACTGAAAATTAAATGAAGTCTGGATTTATTAAATGCTGAATTCGAGGTATAATTTGGGATGTGAAGTCCATCCATTACAGAAGCACTGGCAGCACACATGAAAGCTCTACAGCTGGAGCTGCAGTCCCAAGTATGGGGATAACTGTTTATTTTGCTCTTTAGGGGGACAGGAGCAGAAGGATGTTCAGCAAACTATAATCGTGGATATGCGGGAATTCCGTAGTGAGCTCCCATCGCTGATTCATCGCCGTGGCATTGACATTGAGCCCGTTACTCTGGAAGTTGGAGATTATATTTTGACTCCTGACATCTGTGTGGAGCGGAAAAGCATCAGCGATCTGATTGGCTCCCTAAACAATGGGAGGCTGTATTCCCAGTGCATTTCCATGTGCCGCTACTACAAGCGACCAGTCCTCCTGATTGAGTTTGATCCTAACAAACCGTTCTCCCTGATCCCACGAGGCTCTCTACAGCAGGAAATTTCCAGTAATGATGTTACTTCTAAACTGACCCTCCTTACGCTGCACTTCCCGAAGCTGCGGATCCTGTGGTGTCCCTCTCCCCACGCCACCGCGGAGCTGTTCGAGGAGCTGAAACAGAACCACCCCCAGCCCGACGCAGAGACGGCGATGGCCGTGACCGCCGACTCCGAAATCCTGCCCGAGTCGGACAAGTACAACCCTGGGCCCCAGGACTTCCTCTTAAAGATGCCAGGTGTTAATGCCAAGAACTGCCGGGCCCTGATGAACCACGTGAGGAGCATCGCAGAGCTGGCGACGCTGTCCAAGGACGAGCTCTCCAGGATTTTGGGGAATGCTGCCAATGCCACACAACTCTTCGACTTCATTCACCTCACCTACGGAGAGGCACTGGCCAAAGGGAAAAGCAAAAGGTGACTAATGCCATAGTTCAACGTGGAGCACAGATAAACTCTTCTGGCACAGGACTTCGGCAAATACATGAAATATTTTGATAAATGCCCCCTCTCAGATAACCAGCTCTTTCTTGCTAATGCTGTTCCATCAGCTTGGAAATGTGAGTTAATTATTACTGAAGGCAAGTTTCAAAAGGAATAAGTATTTCTAACAGAGATATGTGAATTATATTTATTCGTTTTAAAGCACTTTAACCAATTCTGTAATGAATTACTGAATTACCACTGAATTAACTAAATTTTTTCACCAATTCCAAAGGAATTAAGTGCTAAGACTAATTGATAAAGGTGTTTTCATGTGGAAGTTATGATGTCTTGTGTTTTGATTAGTGTGTGTGACTTGCTGCACGAAACATCACCTTGCTTTTGCCATTTTCAATGTCTTGCTCTCTGGAAACAGCCAGTTTTTGATTGACAGTGAAGAGCTGTATCATAGTCTTTGCTCAGGAGTTTTTTTAGGAGAATATACTTGGACTCAATCCTAAATTTTAGAATTACCATCATAAGCCTTTGTCACAGTAAGATACAGTTCTATGCTATGCCTTACATTCTACTTGCTTACTTTACTGCAAGTTATATTTTTTGCCATTCCAAAGTCAGTACAGCTCTGTCTTGCTGGGTTTTGCAAAGTGCATTCCTTTGGGCTGGACTGGACAGCGATTCTGAATTCTCAGTGTGCCTTACTTATACTTTGGAGATGCTTTATTTTTTTAATCAGTTTTGATAGTTCTTTCACGTCATTCACTGGCAAGTGAAAAATCTGGGGATACCATTGGCACTGTTCTTTTAAATATACCAGGCCATATTTCCTCTTGTAAAATGCAATAGTTTTCTAAGCAAGGTTTTTTAAAAGTGTGGACAATTCTTTCAATATTGACTTCTTTCTGTGTCCAATTGCACTTGCATTTTAACGTCTCAAATTGTCCATTGTCATCTAGAAGATAAAACTTTCAGCATTCTGTGTAGCATAAAAGAGGGAAAAGTTATTCTTCTTTTGATAGTTTGTGAATGTGTTCATTGTTAAATTATATGTTCTGCACTGAACTTTGATACTGGGTAACAAACTGCCGTTGCCAAAAGGGTTGGTCCAGTGTCATTCCATGGTTATGTATTTACATTTGCTATTTACAAACCCTTATCTGTGATTTGTACATGTATTTATACGATTCTAATGGGAACAACAGATCAAAAGTATCTCCTTCATGAAAGGAGAAAATATTTTTAATGTTCATGTTCAGTAAAAACTGTTCTGTGTACTTTCAGATTTGTTTACTGTGCATTTTACGTATGAACTATGAATTGTTAACTTATATTCTAGGGCTGAGCTGTGACAAATTTCCTAAGTGAACTCTGCAGATGCAAATCTCAGTATTAAATACATCCATAATAAGATTAAAATTTGTTAATTATCTCGTTTCTCATTTGGCTGTGTTGATATCAGAACATTTTTATTTTTAGTGTGTGATTTTATATTGCCCTATATTCTAATTTATTTAATATAAAACGAAGCTTTTCATGAGACTTTTGCTTATTTAAACCAATATTTTTGGAAATGATCAGGATTGAGAATACCCATAAAATGGTGCTAAGAGAGCAGAAAATCAGAGTAAGTTCATGACTGACCTGAGTGTGTTAGAAAAGGGGAGGTGACCAGCCTTTGAGAACAGCCATGGGATGCTCCAGGAGCTGTGGGTTTGGGTTTTTTCACATGTACTGCCTCGACTTTGGCAGTGAGGTTTGGGGGGTTTTGCATAGATTGTATGGGGTGAAAATGAAGGGTATATGAAGAGGTGATAACGTAGTAGCTTTGTGTTGGATGCTAGATGAAGCTACAAATGCAATTAAATAATTATTTGCTAAATATTTTGATGCAATTACCTTTTGCTATATACGTGGAATTTTTGTAAAGCTTCTTCCTTTTCTTTCTCTGTGCAGGCTTTGTCTTTTTCTTTAAACACCCACCAGTAACATTGTTGCATGTTATTACTGCTCTCTGTGCTCTGGCATTCTCTGTGCTGGGTTCAGCTGTGTCCCCTCCTGGGGCAGTAGGTCCCCACTGTGCCCCAAGGTGGAACAGGACATGGGTCCCCACTGTGCCCCAAGGTGGAACAGGACATGGGTCCCCACTGTGCCCCAAGGTGGATCAGGACATGGGTCCCCACTGTGCCCCAAGGTGGAACAGGACATGTGTCCTGACAGCACTTAACCCTGAAGGAACCAGCCAAGGCTCTGCCTGGCTGGAGTCACAGCACACGGGTGGGTGACTGATGGAAATCCTGCCCTTGGGGGGTTCTTTAGCTCCTTTGCAACAGTCATGGAATATTGTACATCTTGGCATTGCTTGATGTTTTAAGCCTGTGCTGTTCTATTAAAAAAAGCAAACAAAACCCCGCTGCCTTCAGGCTGTGAGTGTCTCTTTCTTATCCCCAAACCAAGGCTCTGTTTCCAGGTCACTCAATATGTGAAGCCTGTGGGGTTCACATGATATTGGGAACTATGTTTCCAGCTGCAACTGCAAAGGAACCCTTTTGCTGGCAATGTCACTGTGCAGCTCCAAACCAAAACTAACTCTGCTTTTGAAATTACTTCTTCTGCATGAATGTGTAAAGTCGGGCTTTTCTAGGACCGTCTGGCTTGATTGCTTTCAGAACTTAAATGTAAACCAGTTGCCCCAAAATCCACGCTGCTTATAAAATATGCAGATACACTGTAAAAAACAGTGGCTCTTTGGGAAAGTAGAGAAGTTTAAATGTGCAGATTGTTGTGGTTGTGAGGCTTTCTCATTTGCAGAGTGATAGTACAACCACAAACAACATAATTTTTAAATATAAAAACACTTGTCTCTAAAGCTTTCCTTAGTCATCCAGAATTCCAATTCTATTACTGTAGAATAGAATCCAAAAGCAAACGTCTGCCAAAAAAACTGTTATTAAACAGATACTTTTATATGCCAAACAGCATAAAAAAGTGTAACTGAGGGTCATTAAAGAAACTTGTCCTGTGTGGGCTCAGCAAGAGACACTCTGTAGTTTGGGCTCCAGGAGGAGTGAGGTCTGCAATCCTTTCATAAGGACTGTTTTAGGATAAGGTTCTCCTTAGCCCTTTTTCCAGGATAACCTAAATTACATTAATATTCAATTGATCTGTTTTCTAAAGTACATGATTTTAAGAAATGCAAGTAGGGTCATAAATCAAAAAGATCAGAAACCATTGCTGCAGGATTTTGTAACACTTTGTATTTATAACTTGTTTCACATGTTCATGCTTTCTTGACATAAAAGAATTTTGGATATTTGCAGAATCAAACTAAGAGTAAACCCTTTATGTGCTTCATATGAAATGGTTAATATCTGCTTAACTCTGAGGTACCTTCTTGCATTGAAAATATACTCATTGACAGTATAGGCACTAATTTTTCTTAATTTACAACTTTTTTCACCGAAGTTTTCAGGTTTTTTCTATAGTCATCCTCTCCAAAGCTTCCTCTCAATATTTCTAATACCCAGTTTCACAGTGGGCTGGCAGCCTAGGCAACAGTAAGACATAACTGTTGTACCTATTTGTCAATTGTATTTCTTGCTTCTTTTATTTCCAGTTCATTCTAAGTTCAGCTTGAAGCCACAAGAAATAATATCTCTCCCCTACAAGATGAGGGGGGAAGAATTAAACACCAAGAATCTTTCTCGATGTTTATCAATCAAAAATGACTTAGCTGTGATAGCAGCAGGTTTGGTGAGGTTAGTAATGTGTAAATGTTACGTCCCCTGTACTCTGGAGTTGCTCCTTTGTTTATTTTAAATGAAGGTTGAAGTTCTAACAAGTGAAAGGGGGTGTGATTCATGTGGCACAGAATGATGCCAAAGCCTCTAAGTAAGAAAAAAACCTTTAAATGTTCCCGCTCCTCATCAGCCACTACAAATGGGATCAGAGGAAGTCACTGCCAAACTTGACCCAGAGTGTAGCTGAGAGGTGATTCAGAGGTAATTCAGAGGTAATTCAGAGCTACTCTCCTCCCCTTGGCTCCAGAGGAAACACAGGCATTGTCCATCAAAAATGACACTACAGAAGAGGAACTAAGAGGATCATTTCAGCACTGCTCTCTCTCCTTGTATTTTATTCTTGAAATCAGCCAGCAGGTTTGGGGTGGGAATTTACTCCAAAGGCCAGAGAGAGAATGTACATGACTGACCAAGTGTTTTGATAAGGCTGTACATGGAAATATTCAAGGGTTTTAAAGTTTCAGTGCCATTTTTTATTTTGAGTACGAAATGTTAGGAGTTCATCTCCCACACTTCAAAACAAACAGGAGGACCATTTTTTTCCTTGAGTTTTGATGTGTATTTTGCAAGCTTCTCTGCAATAAATAAAGAGGAAGAAATATTCTCAGCCATGACCTTGAAAACAGGGAAGAACTGTTCAGTAGCTTGGCCAGCCAATATTTAGCTGAGAGATGAATTCCTTAGTCTTCCTGAACTTAGTAAGGGTAACCAGGGCTGCCACACTGCTATGATTTGTTGTCTAAACAGAAGATGTTGCTGCAATATATCAAAATGGGCTAATTTTAGTGTGATTTTTCTTTTAAAGCATGGCAAAATTACCTCGATCCACAACTGCTATAAAGCAGTCTTCCTAGGAATATTAGTTAAATAGATACTATTCTCTCAGCTTGCATTTTACCTTGTATTTGTTTGTAAGAGCTTCCCTCTGTAAACAAATGCTTGGATTCCATTTCTAGGGTCCTCTGTCCCTCAGTGGTATTTCTTTTTTCTTTCACCTTAATCATCTCCTATCAAAGACTGTAGTTATTAAACTGACATTGATATTAAAATATAGTGGTTGGGGGGTGGGTTCTCAGCCCCAGCACCTCCTTAGGGATTCCTGCCATATTTCTAGTGGCTTGAATAAGTCATTTATTATTACCCAAAGCGAGGAGTTTCAGCTGATATCTCCCAGGAATCTCTGCCTTTCCTTTCCTTATCAGCTGTACTGTGTAACATCACACTGGGCATTGGCACATCCACAGACACACAACCTGCTGGGCTGGGTAACATGAGCCTGCACATCCTCAGTGTCCAAGTCTCTGGAAATGACCCTGGAAAAGTAAGCTAAGCCTTTCCCTGTTTCTATATATAAAACTGTTTGTTTAATTGGTGGAGTGCACCAAGAATAAATAATGAGCTAATTCTGAAGATCATTCCCAGAACAGCCAGCTAGGATTGTTTCTGCAAGTCAGAACTTTCTCCTCTCCTTTGTTTGTTTTTTTTATATCATATTAAGGTGAACAGCTTTATCTAAATGCAGTTTTAGGAACAGTGCAATATTTCAAGAATTAAGCATTCTGCACATAAGTGAAGTTTTGGAGAGTTTGTTTGCTGAATATAAAAGTAGTTGAAAGTTCAAATTCTAAAACTGGATCAAGGATTTTAACCAGATTAAAGATGAAGTTTCTTCCATGGAAAATATAAGGAAAAAATTAAAGAAAGAAAGAAAAAGAAAAGCTTCCAAGTACTCTCAATCGATTAGGGAAGACTACCATCATATTTTTTCCAGACCATATTTACCTTGCTTAATAACAGTTAAAAATGATGAACTTAACTACAAATTTTATCTTAGAAGAAAAAAAAAATTTAAAAAAGACTTAAACAGGTATAGTAATTACTTTTTCAACTTTTTCATTAAATCTTAAGCTGTAATAGGTTATAAAGGCTTAATAATATTTTTTTAATCCCTTTTTATGTATTTTGCTTTTAATGTACCAGTACCATACATGACTCTATGTCTCAGTGTGTGCACTAACAAATAGATGAGGTACAACTCACAGAGTTCAGAGGGAAGTAGAAGGACTGTCCAGTAGCAGAGTAGGCTTGCTCATGGACTTGCTGGTGATTTCTTATATTAATACAGTAATTGTCCTGTTTAATGACTGTGGACATAAGTGGAACTCATTTAACTTGACCCTCTGTGGTTGAAAGAATACAACCTCTAGTCAAATACAGAGACTCTATAAGGAGAGTACTGTGTCTCTTTGCTAGGTTATAAAATTAAGAGCTTTAGTTCTGTCCTGCACTTGGTGATGTGTTTATTTAATCTCACAAATAGGGAGCCAGAAAAACAGAAGGCAAAGGGATATGGCCGAGCTGACAAAGCAGCGACAAAGTGTGAAACTGAAACTGAGCACTGACTCCCGGGGCAGTTCACACCTCACACGGCTTGTCTTTCATACCCTTCCAGAGGCTTATGCAGTTCTGATGTGCTGGTGCTTATTACCAGTTTAAGGTAAAAGTCCTCATTGCAGTAAGTGTCTGGTGATCCCCTGAGTAAGATACACTGAGGTTTCCCTTTATTCCTAGGCCTGATGCACAGATCCACCCTGGGTCACACGCAGACATGTTCTGCCACCTCCAGTACAGCTTTGGGCCCCAATATGACACCTATGCTATGGCATGAACTCACCAATAAAACCCCTCTAGAAGCCAGGTTAATCTTGCCTTCTGGGTCATCTCTAACTCCCCCGTAAGAGAGGGAAGCTGGGGATTAAGTGGTAGCATGGAGTCAAGAACCAAGAAGTTACTGTTTTGCTGCTAGACTTTCTCAGTTCAAGTCCTTGTTCAAAGAGTGAATTTTAAATACTACAGAGAAATTCAGGCTGGCAGGCAGGACCCACTTCAGACCTAGAAAATCTGGATTTCTGAGCAGCTGTAATTAGCTTGACCCTCATTTTTAGGGCCACGCTGCTTAAACTGGCAGATTTCAAAATGGGCTCCAGACCAAATCAGTTATGATCTGGTTTTATTTATCTGAAAGGCTCATGTGGACCTAATTTACTATTGTGTGTTAAGAAATAATGAGTAAGTAGAAGGGATTATGAACACATGTTTGGCCTGGAGAGGAAGAGAAAATGCAGCCATAACTTCAATTCTGAAATGTCTTACTTCATCATAAGCTTAAGTTTCAAAGCTGACATGGAGATTTTGGTACATAATGCCTCATTTTCAACTAATTGCGTCTTAACTGAACATCGAAACCTTCAATTTGGAAGCTCAAATTAGCAGCTATGTGATGGTGCTTTTTTTCCCAGTTGTGTGTAGATGCCAACTGGAGGATCTAGGCATCTTATAAGTACTGTATAAAATAGATTGAGATAGAAATTAGAACTCTTTAATCAACTTTCGCCAAGGTAGAGGGGAAACTGCGGGGAAGCACCGGTTATGCAACCTCAGTCTTGTCTGCAGAGGAGATCCATGTCCTATCCCCTACTCTCACATCAATACTTTTCCTTTGCCTCTTTGCCTTTGAGAATATGTAAAAACTTATACTTTCTGTACCAGCTATCTATTATTTAACTCCTTAACAGTTCTCATAATGTACCTTTTGGGAGACAAGTCTT